GTTTTGTACACATTTTAAAACACTCCACATTGGCACCTTCGTAAGTCCGATCGACCTCAGACTTGATACATACTTAGACCACCACCCACAGATGGTCCTAGAACAAAGTCGTGACCGTGACGTCATCAGGTGTCGGGTTACGTCACATTAAAGATGCATTTTTCCCCATATGTTTTGTACACATTTTAAAACACTCCACATTGGCACCTTCGTAAGTCCGATCGACCTTAGACTTGATACATACTTAGACCACCACCCACAGATGGTCCTAGAACAAAGTCGTGACCGTGACGTCATCAGGTGTCGGGTTACGTCACATTAAAGATGCATTTTTCCCCATATGTTTTGTACACGTTTTAAAACACTCCACTTTGGCCTCTTCGTAAATCTGATCGACCTCAGACTTGATTCATACTTAGACCACTACCCACAGATGGTCCTAGAAGAAATTCGTGATTGTGACGTCTTAGGTGTCAGGTTACGTCACATTAAAGATGCATTTTCCCCAAAGGGTTTGTATACATTTTAAAACACTCCACTTTGGCACTTTTGTAAATTCGATGTACTTTAGACTTGGCACACACTTAGACCATCACCCACAGATGGTCCTAGAAGAAATTGTGATCGTGACGTCATCAGGTGTTGGGTTACGTCACATTAAGGATGAATTTTTCCCCATAGGGTTTGTACACGTTTTAAAACATTCTACTTTGGCACTTTCGTAAATCCGATCGACGTTAGACTTGGTACACACTTAGACTACCACCCACAGATGGTCCTAGAAGAAATTCATGATCGTGACATCATCAGGTGTAAGGTTACTTCACATTAAAGATGCATTTTTCCCCATAGGTTTTGTACACATTTTTCTTCAAATCATACTTTGGCACTATATGTCTGATTGACTTTTCACTTGGCAGATGACATTCGAAGTGACATCATCAAGTGTTCATCACGTGCACAGAGTATTTCAAATATCCGAAACAGCTTGTGTTTGTCCACAAACACATTTCTAGTTATTTTTTCTTCTTCTTTTTATTCCCTGGCAAATCCCATAGACATTGTACACGTTTCTTCCACCCCTCACTTTTGCTATTCATCTTTGTCATAAATCATTCAAAGTCAGCATAGGCTTAGTCCTTACAGCATAGATGTGCCCCGAAGAGTGACGTCATCATGACGTCACCATGGGTCACATGACGTCATCACAAATGTGCATATTTTAAAGTCCTAAATATACAAAACTGTAAGTCCGATTGGGTTGAAACTCGGTATGTAGGTAGGCCGGGATGTGTAATAGGTAAAAATTGAGGTGACGTCATCGTGACATCATCATGTGACTTCATATCGATTTTTGATTTTTTGGACCCTTAAGCCATATCTCACAAACGCAATATGCTAAATTCAAAATTCTTTTAATATTATGTTCGTTAGGTAATAGGTATATTCTCAAAATAGTGAAAATTGTGTGACGTCAATGACGTCACACAATTTTCCCTCTTATTACTTTTTATAAAAGTGGGGGAAATGGTGTGTACAGAAAATCTATCTGCAACGGGCAATCCTGTTCTTTTTTTTCCACAATTTTTTCATAAAAAGGGCCCACATCTTGCATATGAACACAAATACAACATTCTTACCCAAATTTTGATATTTTTTTTTAAACATTAAATAAACAAATCTATGAAGCTCATTATTTTCAGGGGTGTGAGTGACCACTGATAAAAATAGCTGAAAACAGCTGAAAAAGGTGTAAAAAAGCTGAATTTTGGAGATCTCCTATACTTTTGTACACAGCAAGTGAGGGAAAAAGCTGAAAAAAAGCTGAAATCCAAAACCAAAAAAGCTGAAATCAGCTTTAAAGCTGAGATTTCACACCCCTGTATTTTTTATATGAAATTTTAGCTGGTACCGGCATGTCCTTGATTTTAGACATAAAACTAAACTTTCCAACAGTGGTAGAAAGAGAGTGATTTCACATAAAAGGACAAATTTATGTTGTTTTGTTGGTCTGAAATCAGCGAAATAAAAGCATATTACTATACATACCGTGGTTTAGTCTGTAACTGTATCTCAAATTGCTATACGTTCACTTGACAACTGAAATTGACATTCCAATTTGGTTGTTACATCAAATGTACTCATTTTCTGGTTTTTTGTCCCTTCTCTTAATTTACACAAATTAATTTTTAATCCGTCCCAACATTTCCCATTTATGTGCGGGTTATGCTTTAAAGAATGTTTCAGCTCTGTTTTCTGATTTAAGTGTGAGCAAAATTGATTTTAAGGACAAAATTGTAAATTTGTTATCATTCTCCATATACAGGTAAAAACCCTTCTACTTCATAAAAGCTAAATACAATTTGAAATTTTGCCGTATAATTTACTGCTTAGGCCGACAGGCTAATTTTTTTCTAGTTTGGATTAATGTTGTAGTATCTTGTAAGTTCATATTTTCCCAACCCACCAAATTATGAAAGGTGTCCCCGCCCCCTAAAGAAAATATTTGTCCAAAATTGTGTTTCAACATGTAATTGGGTCTTTCTGAGATAATGGGGATTATTTTGCCCTTTCTGTTTTGTTTAATCGATTATTGTTAAAGGAAATGTGCAATAGGATTTTTATGACTTCAAAACATTTAAAACAGATTTATTGCCATGTTACAATGACTTTCCACCTCCTTTGTAGCAGTAAAAGGGAGAAATTTCAACATTTTAGTTCTTATAATGAACATTTCCATATTCTTGAGTCCAAGCGTGATGTCATTCAAGGCAGAAAAGTAGTGTCTCTATAACGGTAGCACTGTTATATCAAACTTTTCTTCATTTTCTGGAATAAGTTCCACTTTTTACTTGTTTATCGTGTTAAACAGCTTGTTTGGACACTGGTAGTGGCCAATATTTCTTCAAAACTTTTTTTGTGGGTAATTTTGAAAGACTAATTTTTGTACTGTGCACTTTTGACAAGGAGTACCTGGTGTGACAAAGCAAAATAGTGCCCTCTTAAATGTATTGATGAAAGGTTTTGCTAATAATTGAAATATTACCACTTTCTTGTCACTTCCAATGAAAACAAGTATTAAGATCTTGTATATTGGGTATATGATGAAAATAAGTTGCATGTACTGTTGCAACACACAGTAATATGCATAGATGAGCTGAATTTCCACTGCATGTTTCCTTTAAGTATTCATAAAGTATGCAAAACAATGATCCCGGATCAATATTGGTTACCAGATGAAGACCTTCAGCCTTTTACTGATGCCAGTGGGAATACTTTCAAGGCAGGTGGTTCAATGGGACATGGCCCCACCTTATCCGCAACAACATGCCATCCATTGCCTGGCTAGAATTCTTTCCTGTGGTAGTTGCTCTCACCCTGTGTGGTAAGGCTCTTTCCCGTAAACAAGTCCTAATACGGTCTGACAATGCAGCAGTGGTGTCCATCATTAATAAGCAATCATCCAAATGCTGCGAAATCATGAAATTAGTCAGATTTTTCGTTTTACAGTGCCTCCACGACAACATTAACTTCAGAGCCAGTCACATTCCCGGCATTCACAATAATATTGCAGATGTTTGCAGATGCACAGATTCCGACAATTGGCCCCCTCAGCTACCCCTCGGGGGTTGGAAGTCCCAGAGCTCCTATGGAAGCTTTAAACTTGGAAGCACTATGCCTCCTGGGGGCATCCTTTGCTAGCGGCACTGGGGAGGTATACGGGAAGGGTGCAGAGCAGTTCAACCAATTCCGGCTCCAAACCAAGCTCCCCCTAATGTGGCCCGCTCCTAGTAGCCATGTAGCTGCATTCATTGCACACCTATCCTTGGAAGGATAAGCCCCCTCCACAATCGGTATGTATACCGCAGCGGTTGCTTACATACACAAAATCAATGGCTGGCCCGACCCCACCGATTCATTTCTGATTAAAATAAGGGAAGGTTGCCGTCGGCAGGGCCCGCGCTCTGATCCCAGATGCCCCATCACAGCAGATTTGCTCGGGCAAAAATGCTACATTTTACAAGCGATTACATCATCAGACTTCGAGATCAACCTGTTCCGTGCAGCATAGGCCTATACCTTGGCCTTTTTTGGGTGTTTGTGAGTAGGGGAATTTACAGCAGCCACTAAAGCCGGCGATCAATCCAAGATTTTGAACCTCCTTGACATTTGGTTCGAGGGCTCCGCCGTTGCCACGCTGGTCGTGAAGGTTAGATTTTCTAAAACTGACCAAGGTGGTAATTCCACTGAGCTGCCGCTCAACAAGGGGCCATCCCAAAATATTTGCCCCATCGTTTGGGTTTCCAAATATTTACGGCTCCACCCCCTCAACCAGGCCCCTCTTCCTTCACATTGATGGCACCCCCCTCACAACTCACCAATTCCGCCAAATGCTAGTCAAATCCTTGGAGGCCCTGGGGATCCCATCCGAAGGCTTCAACACCCACAGCTTTCACATTGGCGCTGCTACTTCGGCTGCCCTTACAGGCACTCCCTTGCCCCAGATTCAGTCTCTGGGACGATGGAAATCCCTAGCAGTGAATAGGTACATCCGCCCAGATAAAGTTTTCCCATCTATGCAGCAGCAACCCACCATAGGAACCTCCTGTTAGGCGAAAATTGCCTCTTTGGTCCATTCCCAAAAGATGGGGGGGGGGGGGGGGAACTTGCTTACTTTGGAGAGAAGTTTAGGGGAGAAAAGGGGGGGGGGTAGGGAACTTGCTTACTTTGGAGAGAAGTTTAGGGGAGAGAGGGGGGGATTTGGCAAGTTCCTTATGTCCGAACTTATTTGGCATAATTGTGTCTGGTTGTTTGTCCCAAACCCCCAGTCTGGGCAAATTTCTTCCCCTGTGTTCCCCCCGTGCTTGGGGCATGAGGTTTGGCCCAGGAGAGGGGTGCGGCCTGCATGTAAAAGGGGGGTATCATATTTGGGGGCGAGAATATGGAGTTCGGCTATCTCCACTTGCTCTAATTAATGATTGTAGCTGTCGATTCCAATCTCGGTGTTACAAAATTCTGATTGGCATTTATTAAAGTCATAGCTGATTATTGACACACATGTTCTTGCAAATTACTGTTAACTTGTTAGACATTGTTATGGCATTTCTTGCCCGTTGTATAAACACGTATAAACAACTCTTGTTTACTGCCGTGTTTATGCTTAATTAGTATAACACTGTGTATGATGCAAATGCACATCTGTTGGAAATAACTTTAGAATAACTTTATTTGATCTTAATGGGGCCCCAATTCACATTGGAACTTTAACAATGAATGTTGTATGGTTACTATGTCAGGTGGCTATTGTGCATTAAACGCTGGGCGTGGAAGGACCGAAGCATACCCAAAATCATTGTCTGGTTCCTCTCAACCTCTCTAGGGCCAATTTAGAAATACTTAAAATTGTTGACTGAGCAACTGAGCCTCATAAGCACAATCATCATTTATTGAAATTTAAACATAGCCTAACGGTGGGTTACAACCACTGATCTCTATATAAAGACTGGATAGCGGATATCCATACACCAGTCACAAAGTAGACTTTGTATATTGACCAATTCGCCCCTGGTCTCACGAAGATGGCCACGTATAATACGAACGTTCTATGCGTATATACAGCGTGCGCTGTATCAAGAGATGACGCGCATTTTGGTCACGTACATGCATTTTGGTCACGTACACGCATTATGATGTTCTAAAAAGGACACATTTTTAATAAGTGGTTATTATTTCCAAAACGCCGAAAAAGTAAACCGCGGCATTAAAAAAAAAGTAAACCACGACGTTAGAACTGTGGTCAGTGGTGGTGGTCAAAATATAAGTCAAGTGAACCACGATGTTACAAAAATAATCATGTTGTCTATAAAGGCGGCAACTTGTCCTTTGTAGATCACCAGCCGGTCTCACCAATATGGCGTCAAATTAATTCATTGTGCAGCTCTTTATCCACTATCCAGTCTTTATATAGAGATCAGTGGTTACAACTATATGTGGGGATAGAAGATTAAAAAGAGCCATCAAAATAGTTTACGTAGGTAGCCCAGTATAGTATCTCCCTTTTTCATCATTCCCTTCTAAACTGGACTCACAGAGTTTGTATAGCTCAACCTGGTCATGTAGTCGAGAAATTTGTTCATCTTGGTACAAAGTGTGGTGCACAATACGGTTTATGTCTTGTCCAGTTAAATCAGCTTGTGACATCACATCTTGAAAGTAGGGTCTTGTGTTCCCAGTATCGTGGTGGGGATCATCAGCTTGGCTTGTTGAACTATGCAGTAAAGGTGACTGGTTACCATGCTGTACTGTTTGTGGTGGTTGGCTGCATGCTTAAAAGGATTCCTGCCTGTTCTTTGCTGCCTCTTTGATCTCATGTTGGACTTTTCTTTGCTTCTTTGCTCTGTCGTTTCGCTCTGTAGTTCCCTGGCTTGGTTGCTTCACCTTGTCATGACCCAGACACAGTATTGGAACCCAGTCAATGCTGGATGTTTCCCGATCCCTAGCACCTCTGCCTGCATCATAAAGTAACAAGAAAATGAAAATGGTATTTATTCATTAAATACAGTACCAGTACATGAGCAACTGTTTTGATAAAATGGGGCCAAAAAAAAGGGTGTGCTTCAGGACCGTTTTTTACTTAATATTCACCATGGAAGATAATTACCTGGTGAATAACCAAGATAAAATTCTGTTTCTGTAAGTGTCCAGTTATCCTGTGATTTGTGAAAGTGAGTTTGTGCAAAAGAAACTTCAAAATTTGCAGCAATTTTCCCTCGGTCGCAGGTCATGTACACTTGACCCTTTGAATTTGATTTTCCATGGTGAATTTCAAATGAAAAAAATTCAAATTTCAGTTTCCTCACAAAAAACACACTGTCCTGTGGCTCTATAATAATGGAGGAAGACCAGTATTTGAGCCACATTAATGGGGATAAACATAGGCCTACCCAAATTGTAATTTTTTCTTGGTCCCTTTCCCAAATTCATTTTTTCCTAACAATCATTCATGGACTGACCAGTGAGATTAAAAAAATGATGAAACATTGGCATAAGGAATTCAACTATCTCTCCCTGTTTTTTTGTGTGTGTGTTAATGTCAGGCCCTAACATTAGCTCTAAGGCAATGGTTATTTGACAGTGATTAAGACATCTGATTAATTTGAAGCTACAAAACCAATCCCAACTTGCCTGTACCCAAGGGCAACCCCCTACCGAAGTTTGACACCAAAATCTCATTTCTAACTTAAATTATCATCCGGAAACCATTAACCTTTAACTCACAAAGGTGACCTTGCCCTTTGACCCCAAAACCAATCACAATTTGCCTACTCCCAAGGGCAACCCCCTACAAAAGGTACAATCCCAAACAACATTTCTAACTCAAGTTATCATCCGGAAACTGAGCTGCCTGGATGGACGCCTGGACGCCCTGACATCCGGACAGATGCCGTAGGCGATGACAATACCCCTCAAGCCTCTCGGCTTAGGGGGAAAAAGATAGATCATGAACCAGCTAAATAAACACTTTGTAACCCCAAACAATCACTGCCATTGGACTTTGTATGCACGGTGATCCTACCCATAGCCCATTATTAACATTATTAATATTATATTTCATAACTTTTTCATAACTCTGTTTACTGCTTAGAATTATACATGTGTGTAATTGTTTTTCTTCTATTATTATTCGTCTGTTTTGTGTAATTGCATGCCTGGTACAAGCTATGCTTTTAAGGTTTTGCCACCTCTAGTGGCCTTTATATTTTGTATCAATACTTATATTATTTTTTTCATTTCTGTCATGAAGAGGAAATAAATGTGATTTGATTTGTGAAATCCATAATACTGACAACCAGCAAGTTCTTCCCCCTCATAATCAGCACCACCTTTTGCATTCTATAATTTATAGATCCTTACCACTGAAAAAATGGCGAGAACAGACTCTGGCATGCTTGCCAAAATCGTTTGTGTCAGCCTGGCTGATGGCAGAAATCCACAGTCGCCGACGTTTTACCGTGAGTGCTCTCTCTCTTGGTCACCATGATGCACTTTTATTTTGCTTGCTTGCTTGCAGCCGCGTTACACATATGACGATTGGCTACCTCTCTCACGCATCTCTTGATCTCCTGCCTCCACGCTGTTTTGTTCTGAGTGAGACGCTTGGCTTGTACAAAGCTCTTTCCTGTCCATTCTTTGATGGGTATACGAAAAACTTTGCCCCATCACGATCTCCATGTGATTCGCAACCATAAACAGCACAAAAGGCAGAGCCAGTCCCCTCAAGCTTCCCCGTGGGGATGGGACGGAGGGTGTAGTGACGCTCGGACCCAAACCACGTTTACCCTGTCAACCTTTTTTAGGCTCAACTCCGGCACAGGAGATATTTGGAGTTTTGAAGGAACCTTGCCGGAGCGTACCTTTTGTTGGATGTTCCGATTGGATTGGCCAGAGAGGGTGACCGATGGTACCCAAACCGTCCAGCTGAACTGCCAGCGCCCTCACCCAGCAGTAACCAAACCGAGGGTGCTAGACGGGAGACTGCTGCCGCAGTAACGATGGAGCGTTAACAGCAGAGACCTCAGAGAACTCTCTCAGTTCCTTGGGAGAGGAATCCCCCCCCCCCACATCCCTGTTTGTGACAGGCCGGTTCTCTCCAAATGTTTCATTACTAAGGGAATAAATGTGTGCTTTGGAGGTTTTATTTCTGCGAGGGTAATTATCAGCACCCAGACTCTAAGCGGTCTGAAACAGAGTGATTAATACCGACCGAGCACATATTTATTTCCATTCATAAATACATTTTCGGTCAAAAAAAAATCAAAACTTTTTGGTCCAAAAATCCTGATTTTGTTCAACAAGTTCACTTCATGTTTTTTAAACACCCCTCTAGCTAAATAATGGAGTGTCCAGCAAATAAGGTGTAAAAACTCCTTTTATGGAGATTGGCGCGTGCGTCGCGCAGAATGCACCTGGGGCGTTGCGTTGTGAATTTAGGACTATAAAATACTGACTCACTGGTAGTATTGCGCATGCCTACGTGAGGATTGTGAACGTTCAACCAATATAACGGTAAGAGGCACTGGAGTTTTAAGAGTCCAAATTTCATGTGACACTGGAAAAGTGTTTAAGATCAGCTAGCCATGTCTTTATCATCCGTTTAAGACCGGCCACGTGATGGGCTCTCAACCAATAGGAATGGGTAAACTGTCTTAGGTATTTATGAATATCAAATAAATACAGAAGACAAAACTATTACTGTACAATAATCTTCAAAGTTATCAAATACAACTCTTAAAGCAAAAAGGATAGAAGAAATTGACGAAAAATACGGAGCGTATTTTCTGCACGTCCTACCCGACCTGCCACTTAGAGAAAAGAGAACGCTCACCAGCCTCAACTCCATGGGCGTGTGCATGTTCCTTCACTAACCCCTGGCCGTGATGAACACGTAAACAATGCTGACTGGCTATTTAGAGCATACTGCACGCACATTTCGAAGACTGCACGTCCTGTAATGCGCTTGTGTGGTTTGCATGTCACGTCACGTACAAACTTTTTTTTTTCAAAACTGCCCAATGCCTGTACGATATGGATTATGCCAGCCTCGTTTTTCGCCCCCAAAAAACCTGTATCTTTGGTTGTACAGGGACAAAAGAGGTACGTACATTTAATACAAATACTTGCTAAATAACACTACGTCAAAACCTTATGTTTGAAAGGATTGATTCTTCAAAAACACAACTTCCAACATTTTAAAGATGGGGTTGCGCGTTATATACATCGACTGCAGTCCTAATTTAAATGTGTCATATTTTGAAACATTTAAATTAGACAAATCCAGGGGCTAAGATCGCGCAAGACATGATAGGAAACAACATGGCGCATCAAGATTGTACCCATGGAAACAAGGTTGGACGCTCACAAGTCATACATGCTGCAGGGCACTATGGGTAGGACACAAGAGGGCGCTGTTGCAAAAAGTCTTAGCGTAAATACCTGCCGGTATGGGGAATATGCATTTATAAGTAAATTGCTCTACAGGTAAGTAGAGTGACATGGACTTTGATTTTTGAACTCTGATGATTGTTCTTGTAACTTCAGTGGAGTTCAGGTAATTTGGGCGATTCACAATGCAGTGCGCTACCAAGAGTTTGCCATGGAAAGTAAATTTTCCAGCTTTACGGTTGACAAAACATGGCCCTTTTCATTGAGTGTCAGTAGACAACTTGAGCTAATATGTCCGAGATTGGGGCATAGTGTTCTGCCGCCTCACAAAAAAACACCATACTGATACAAAGAAAATAAAAGGGCAAACAGATCCTTGAATCATACGCTTACGAAACTACTGACCGGAAAAACTAGGCTTTTCAAATGTCATACGCTTACGAAACTACTGACCGGAAAAACTAGGCTTTTCAAATGTCCCGCACTGCGAATTTGTCGACTATCTCCCACAATGCACTGGGAAAAATGAACTCTCCGTGGCAAACTCTTGGTGGCGCGCTGCATTGTGAATCGCCCGAATTGTATCTTCAAAGTACATGTAAAAGTCAAGTTATCCTAAGGTGTCAGTATTATACATGAGGATATGGCAGAAATGACAAGTGAATATTTCCAGTCAGAGCACTTAGTTGTTTGGAGACTGGGCTTATGACCTGTACCATAAAACAGAGCTGGACTAATGTGCCTGCTGACAGCCACCTTGTCCCTAGTGGTCATTTGTTATGTTGCTGCAAAGGTGTAACCATGTTTTGCGAGCAACGCTATTTTACACGGAATTAGGATGCGACAAAAATCTGTTCTGTGATTTAATTCTTTGATTCAAGTATGCCTTTGGATAATAGAAAACTACATATTTACTGTTGTAAATCATTGTTTAAAATTTAAATTTGGCAGCTTGATTTTTAAAGCTTGGCAGCGACTTTCTAAGCTTGGTGAGAATTGCACAAAGCTTATTGGTCCAACAGTGGCTTACCTGGCATAAGCTGGATACAGGAAACCCAGGAAACTGCTAATGAATGATGCAGCATAGCCGAATACAAGCCACAATGCAACTACAGCGGCCACACCTGTTAATAAAAAAACATAAAAACAGCAAATTATAGATAATAAACCCTACTCATGTCTCAACAAACAGTCAAAAAATCAATTCCCCCATTCTTAATCTTAATATTATTATAGTTTTTTGTGCCTTTGTGATAGCATTGTATTTTTAGTGTTTTTGTGAAATGGTACTATAATTGAAATTGTATAATACTAATTCTTTTTTAATTGTACCGGTGAGCAAATGTAATTTCCTAGATGGATTAATGAAGTGTTTTCAATTCTATTCAATTCAATTCATTCCTTCTTACAGAGGCTAGTAATAGTCAGGTGGCATATGGTCGGAATCGTGACTGATTGGTCCAAGACACCAAACTTGGCAGATAGATTCTTATAGCCCTAGGGAAGTTATTTAGAAAGGGTGACACCTGAAATTCTAATGGGAAGGGTGCCTTATTTGTATAAATCGTTAATACCTGCCGTGTAATATATTTATTCCATATTTTGGTATATTTTTATTTTATGTATTTTTTGAAAAGCACATTTTGGGGATTCTATTTACATATCGTTACTTCATAGATAACATTTTCTGAAGCATATCAGAGACTGCATGATTATGAGGACATAATAATGATAAAAAATGGCTGCCATTATATTCTTAAGTTGTGCGCATTTACCTTTTCTTCAGATATCAGCAAGTAGTCTCGCTTAATGTCGGTATTGATGAGCTTCAAATTCACAAAGTTCCTTACTGACACAGTTACCCTAACAAAAATAAATGGGAAATCATGTGAACAACTATAACATCTTGATATTTAGCCCAAAAATCAAAAAAGGGGAAAAATGAGGTGTCCATAAATTGGGCTAAAAATTAGGCAAAGGGTTGCCTAACGTGGGGGACTTTAACAATAATTATGTCTACGTCAAAACGTTTTCTTACAAATAATTTTGGGAATTTCCTTGAACTTGTTCAAGTCTCCCACGTTAGGCAACCTTCTCCTACTTTTTAGCCCAATTTACGGACACCTCGTCCCCCCCCCCCCCCCCCCCCCCCCCCCCCCCCCCCCCGTTTTTGTTTTCTGGGCTAAATATCACAATGTAAACATTAATCACATGATTCTCCATAAAATTTTAATAGAGTAACTGTGCCAGTAAGCAACTTGGTGAATTTGAAGCTCATCAATACTGAGGTTTGGCAAAACTACTTGATATCTGGAGACAAGGTAAATGCGCGCAACTTTATGGTAAAATAGTAGCAAGTTACTTTGTCCTCATAATTATTCAGTCACTTATTTGCTTTAGAAAATGTTTTATTGAAGTTTTTTTGGATACATGTACTTTCACATGTATTTACCAATCTCCCCCCCCCCCCTCCTTCCCCCGATTTGACTTTGATCATCCATACCATAAAACGTATCTCATCTGTAAATAGTTTTTTTCACCATTTCTGCTTTTTATGACCATTTGAATCCATTATCATGTACCCCATGACTATGTACCCCAATACCATGAGTTTCTTTCCCCATATTGTAAAATATACTTGTAAAAAAAGCAACGGTAGAAAATGGGTTTTTGTTTCCACTTTTTTTTCACATATCTCTCGTCATTTCTTTTTCATTCCTCTTCATATTTACAAAAGTGATTTTGCACATCTTATTTTCTCTTTCTTTTTTATGCTGATAATTACAAATAAAATGAACTAACTGAATTGAAGTAATAATTGTGTCGCTTGTCCATTTTTTCCCCTTCATATTTACAAATATTTACAGATGTTATTTTGCTATTCACTTAATTTTCTGTCTTTTTTGCTCTTTATAATTACAACTGAAATGACACTAAAATACTGTACAGTGAAATGATTAGGTGGGTTGCATACACGATGTCTTCCAGAGGATATCAAACAATTTACTTGGTTGAATGATAAACTTTGAAAATGGGGCAGCACATAGGGAACTTCACAAGTTTCACACATGAACCTAGTTTCTTTCTCATGAAATTTCTTGAACAAATAACACAACGTTTGAATAACTTATCACGTTTCCCTGTTGAGGGTATGTCAGCAGGGAAATGTCTTCTTAACAGTCTACCTGGACCAGGAAGACGGACTAGCCTCCTCTAGATCCACATGCAGGGAGATTTGGTGTGTGGGCCTCTAATATTTCATTCACTAGTGTCCACCTGAAATTCTAGTATATTTGTCAGTCCCACCCAATGCTTTGTGCACAAGATGAGAGTTCAAAAGGCAGACATCTGGCAGGTAGAAGAACAGTTTCTTGTACCACTTGATGGACTTCCTGACCGTGCGGTGAGATGAGGAAAGTTGGTCTGACATGTCTACGCCCTTCATGCCTGTGTTGTAGTCGATGACACACTTGGGCTTCTCGATGGACTTCTTGTAACGGTCGCGCTTCCCGGGTGTCCCCCATTGCAGCCGTGTGCATCATAGGTAACATGCGGACATCTTTCTTGTCTTTCCAGACCAAGGCAAGCAGGCCTTTGTCTGAAGAGCAACATGCAACTTCACCTTTACGAAGTTGCAAGTCGAACAAGTCCTGGGGCATTTCCTTGCGATTTTTCCTGACTGTCCCAACGACAATGGTCTTGTGCCTCTGGAGTTCCCGGAACAGAGAAAGCAGAACCAGTTGTCAAGAAAAGCAGTGTACCCCTTGTCGAGTAGATCTGCATTCAAGTCA